CCGTCATAAAAGATTTTGATCAGTTTATTGGTATAAAAATTTATTAGTAAGTTGAAATGTTAGTTGTATTAATAAGTAGAAAGATGATGTATAAAATAAGAAAAGTTTTTCGTGGAAGAACACAAAAACAGGTTTAGTTAAACATAATACAGCATAAACGAGAAAATAATGTCAAAAAGAGTAAAAAAATAGCTCATTTTGTGAGCATCATACAAGAAAAATGTATAAATGAACGAAACATATGTTAGTATAAAAGCATGCATCAGATTAGGGAGGGTTGAGCTAGCTAGTACCACTTAGAAAATCTAATCTTCGATGAAGTAATCAACTGCAGATCTCTTAGAAATCTCTCTTATAGCCTAAAAAAGCTAATGGTCAAAGCCAGAAGGTCAAACTGGAAGACTAAAACAACATAATTATACCTCACAGTCTGGAACTCCTTTTTTACTTCTAAATTTCCTCTTTAGCACCAATGAAAACAAACAGACAGAACTACGATAGAACAGAATCTAAAAGAAGGATAATCATCCAACAATCAATGATTTGACAGAAAAGATTCCAAAAACTAAGGACGATCATGCAGCTCACAAAAAAAAATGTTTGTTTGTTTATTGCTTTATGTTTGTAGAAGACAGTCATTAGTACCATTTGATCGCATTCATCGCCTCTCCTCAATTTGCGGAACGCCTGTCCTCAAGCTGGGGAACAAAAATTATGTTTTCTGAAGAACAAAAATCCGTTTTTGTTCTTTATAAAAATGAAGTATTTTTTGGAGAACAAAAACTCTGCTAAAGAACGACAACGTGAAAATAGGGTGAAGAACATACATTCTGTTCTTCAGAACACATTCGTGTTCTTCACCATGTTCTCCAAAAAAAGGAAGAACACAGATTTTTAACAGTGTATCCCTAAAAGACCCAATTCAATATCGTGAAATTATACCGTAATATTTTGCATTGCTTTTTTAACGACGAATTAACTTAGACTGAGCTAAATTTCAGGTCGACAAAGCAGAGATACATAAACTTCTTTTTGTACTAGTTCCATTTTTTAACTGTAGAATTTTAGGATCTCTACAATCGATTTTACATTTTACATAAACTGAAAACGCTTCCTGCTGCTTACGATTTTTTTCACGTGATATCAGTTCAACAAGTTTTCTTAATGGACAGATTGAACCAAAAAAGCATTTATATGGATAAAAAGAGTTAAGAGTTACTCAAAAACTGAAAATAGTTTCTATGGATCAACATAAATTAATTATCACCACGCAAGTATTTGTTTCGTTCATTCTGTACTTCTAAGACGAAATGTCTCTTGTTTTAATCAAATCGACGGATCAAGTAGATGTGTATACAATAACAATATCAACTGACATCGCTCATCCATTGTTCTACTACTTAACACCGTAGATAAAGTTAAAAGCTATAATTTTACAAAGTTAATTTTAGAACCCTAATATATACATATATGGTAATATTGTATAACCCACATTATCATTTGTTAATTGAGACTGTTGCATGCAATTGACAAATTTCTTTACAGGTAGACATTCTAGTCAATCGAGATTGTTTTTCATCGCTTATTCATTCATCACTTATTCATCAATTTTTTTCTATTTTGAAACAATAAACGCACCAAGCTTCATCAATTTTCTTTTAAATCGTTTTATTTTTCTACCACGGTCTTATTCTTTTTTTTTATTCTCATTCGTTTACATTGTTACTCATTTAAACAAAATCTCTAATAGTTGTACTTTATGATTATAATTATGATAATGGTCTTTAGTCTAATATAGGTACACACAAGCGGCGTACAAATCCAGGATAAATCCGCATTGATATATGTATATAAAGTTAGCTGATGAAAGAGGATTTTATTTGTGTTACGCGAGACATCCGTGTATATGTATAAACTATATTGAACAAAACATCTTAATTGTACAGTTTCCCCATAAACAAACATATAATTCTATAGGTCTAGGATTTAGTTTCTGAGGTGTCTAATACGAATTTTACTACGCTTTTATGTTATTAGATTATATGTCTAACAGTAATTGTTCCTTGCTATAGTCAAAATATTTAAATTTACCTATGTGCTTAATGTTTTATGTATTTATTTATTTATGTATGTATTTTTTTCCTTTTCTCATTTCTTATTTGTTGTTTCTCACTGCCACTATCAGACTGATGTCAGAAATCCTCTCTTTTATGAAATATACCTTTTCTGTTTTGTATATTGCCTATCTCTTTTTTCGTTTAAATTGTCAATCTTATTACATAGGGACAATAAATAAATGTTTATGTTCACCTTAGTCGTACAGTTTCTACATCAATATTGTGTAAAAGCAAAACGTTTTATTCAAGCATATTAGCGATTTTGTCTTTCGTTTGTTTGTAGTGCGCGCGCTAGTTCTTATATTCCTCTTTAGCTGTTTGTTATAACAAACAGCCGAAACAAAGATAACAGAGAATTTTTCTTTTTATTTACGTACCATCAATGAAATGTCGATACACAGAGGGAAAATTTTCATGTATTACCATCCTTTTTGAATAAATGTTAGCTATCTATAAACCATAAGAATTTTAAATGAAAAGAAAAGAAGATTTTGATTCAATAAACCCTCTCGGTAAAGTAACATTAGTCAATCTAAATACTATCAATTTTGCTTTGGAAAAGAGTGTTTTATATTTCATTGCTGACCATTATCTTCCACAGTGCTTAAAACAGCTCTTTTAGTGTTGTTTCTAAAATGATTCTAATATACTTATATTGAAGTATACACTCGATATCCATTTTCTTTTTTCTATTTTCTTTCAATTATTAGCGACATTACATCATGTCAAAATTGATGCGTTTCTCATTTGAAACTTAAAAGTCTTAAATTATTGTACAACTAACGTATAATTGTGATCAGTGTTCACACCTCTGCCCAACAATTACATCAAAGTGTCAGATAATTTCCGAAATGTAATAGAAGAAAAGAGAGACGAGTTGAACTTGAACTAAATTAAGAAAAATCATCATTGTTCTCTACACAGTGTTGGAGTTACAATAGTAGTTTACTTTTAGTAGGCTGCTAGTCAAATAACTTTATCCTTAGAGACATAATAATATTATATTCTTTAATTCTTCATGTTTTAGCAACCATAAAGACATTACTCCAGTACAACAGCTTGAACCGGAAATATACACCACATTCACTGACAACGATGTGACGTGTATAAAATAGAAAATTTGAACACATAAAGTCTATTATTTTACAATAATCTATTTCTGTATTATGTGTTTGAAGTTCACTGAACAAATGGTGTCTTGCCTTGAGATGAAATAGGATAATAGAATGCTTTTTTGATATTTCAGTACACACACACACACACACACACACTAAAAATATCACTAATTAAAGTTCATAGATTATTAAAAAAAAGATAAATTATAGGAATTTTTTTAATTAGTTTGCAAGACCAATCATATATACAAACAATAGTGCACAGTTCAACTTGATTACTTTCCATGACTATGTAAAAAGAGGAAACGCGGATATGAAAAGTAGGAACCATTTATAATATTCTCATATAGTTTAACATATGGTCACTTTTGTAATACCACTCGTTGTGTTTTATATGTCTTGATATCACTTATAAAACGAATATTAATCAAAATATTTTCTTGTTTCATGACAAGGCTAATTTACTACAGGTGATATTCATGATGATCATCAAAATTTTTCTTGTCTGCATAGATAAAAGAACAACACATATGTATATCTACGGAACGAATCAATTTTATTTTCAGAAAAAGAAAAAGAATAGAGAGATACAGAGGACATTACAGACATTTCCTTTCTGATGGTGCTAGAAATATACAGATTATAATTAGAAAACGCACGAAATAAATTTTTTTTTTCTTATTTCTTTTCTCTCTATGTTTACTAAAACGTCTAATTGCTGTTCAATAGACGAATAGAAGATAGACTGTAAAAAATCTTGTAACAAAAGGGAAAGAAAAATAATGATGTTAATGAATAACGATCATTCATTCACTAATTATTATCATAGACGACACGTGTTCTATTGTCAGATAGAATCATGAGATTAAAAGATGATCAAGGTAAGATTTAGAATTTGTCTTTATCAACACTTTCAAATGTTAATATGTAAGGTCATGCATTGATGGAGGTTCATTATTTAGTGTGAATGTATAAGGCGATTGATTATCGCAGTTCTATTAGTCTATATGTTGTATCATGCAGAAACTCAAAGACAAACGAAAAAACAAAGTTCAAAATGATGCCGTTAATATAGAGTAGACATGTAGACAAGTACAACCCCTGGTGATTATTGCTCTCTTTCACTCATTATTGTTGAAACAAATAGAAAGTTTGATACACAAAATCAAAATATATTGGTAAGATAGAATGTTGTACGAACAAAGTGATGTAAGTCATACATACTAGAAAAAAGTAAGCTATAGGTACAATTGATGGAAGGTAAAGTGAGAGAGAGTAATATTTTTACTTGAATATTAGAAATGCTGTAAAACGTTTAGAGCACTGATACTAAAAGTAGAATGTCATTTTTTGGAAAAAAAATTGTCAATAATTGTCATTGAAACTAGTGTTATTTTTATTTATTTATTTATTTTTTTGATAATATAACACTATAAAACACGTTTACAGCATCAACAATTTAAGTATTGTTTATCTAAAAAAACATAATAAATTTGTTCATTTGCAAAACGTCTCTATCTTTAGTATTGATGGAATGTTAATCAAGCTATCTATATATTATACACACATTTATGCTAAAATCAATACTGTAGAGTCGATGTTTATTTTCACACGTAATAAATTATAAGGTAGATTCATTGATGTAACTGTAAATTGTTATATCCGCCTATTTTCTACCATTTATAGATTATGTCTATATTTAAATATATGAATTAAACGATAAACGACAATCATAATATTTAGAATTTCAATCTGATGCGTTTCTACTATGTACCACCATCATCGACCATATTTTATTTTACTATTACTTATTTTCATGACAACCGAAGCTGTACTACTTCTGTTTGAACATGATCAATATAATATGTCTGTATCTGAATCGACAACAGTTGGCACCATTTTATTAAGAATTAAAGCCTATTTCGTTGATCATTCGTTTCACGGTCAAATATTATATTCATTACGTGATGATGAGACGATAACAAACAAATTTTTATTGGATAAATATGATGGGAAGTTATCTTTGAAATCAATGCTCGATTTTGAAACAATATCGTTGTACACATTTACAGTTGAAGCAAAAGTAGATTCTATGTTACCATCGTTTGTTGATGTAACGATTTATGTCATTAATGTCAATGATAATGCACCCGAATTAAACGTCCTTTTTTATCCATCTGTGTCAACTCAACAACCATCGAGTGGTATTACAACAATTTTATATGATCCATTCATTTCTTATACACCTATTTGCACAATAAATGTGAAAGACAAAGATTATTTAAGTGCTACAACGATCATTCAGACTAATCTAACCGTACATTTAAATAATACTGACAAATTTCAATTACAATTGGTTCGTTTAGGTGGATCGCGCAGTGGTGCAGAAGCCACTTATATTCTATCGATAATCAATAATAAACAATTTGATAAAAATGATTTACTTTATCTTTCAATTGATGTTTGTGATAATGATGAACCACCATTATGGACAAATCGTTCATTTATATTTCATTTAATTCCAAAATCATCATATGATTGTAATCTTCTATTTGATAAACGAGAATATATGATCGATGTAAATGAAACAACACCTGTATATACTCTATTATTACGTTCATACGAAACAAATTGTCAAAATTCTAATATTCGATTTAGTCTGAGAAATGAGAATATCTCTTTTCATATTAATCATCTAACCGGTGAATTATTTACATCAAAACGTTTTAATCGAACAATTCAAAGTATCTATCAATTTCAAATTTTAGCTAATGATCGACAACGTCAAGCTACTGTCAATCTTACTATTCGAATTTTAGATAATGACAATCATCAACCATTTATTCTTGGTAAAAAATCTGTATTATTTAACCATGATAGATTAAAAGAAAATCAGATTTTAACAAATTTGAATATTATCAATTTTTCTAATAAAAGTGATTGTAAATTGAATCAAAATAATAATTATTTTCAATTATTATCAAATTGTAGTGTAAAACTACTGCCTAATGTGATACCGATACCAGGCAAATATTACTTAAACATTATATTAGATCAAAGATTTGAAGACATGTTTCAAATCGAAATTATTGAAATACAAGAACGACAACAAAAATTATTAACAAATGTAAATAATTATTTAAAATCACAATTGATAATCATTATAGCTGCCATATTGGCCTTTCTTTTTATTTCATCGACAATGTTATTGGTGACGTATTTATTTAGAAGACGATATAAACAAAAAATATTAAGTAGAATAAACGGACATCCGACTAAGCAACGTACACTGGATAAATGTATTAATGAAATCAATAAGAAACAGGTATTCTTCTAATTCAAGATACATTAAAATAATTACCTATTAATTGCCATAGTATAGACAATAACCTCGAAATTATTCTTTATGTTTGATACTCTTGGTCTAACTATCTCGACTTTATCTCACTCTATTATGATTCTCTTTGACAAGACTAATTTCTTGTTCTTATTTAGAAAGCAACGGGATCTGTCGGAAATGATCACAATAGTAAGTAAATCAGTTAATCTAAGTTTAAAATTGTCTTTCATACACTATTTATGATTTAGAATACGAGACTGCTAAGAATAAACTACAAGTTCATGATGATCAACAAGTATCCAACGGTTCTGATTACAATTTAAAATCTTGTGCAGCAATTTATTTGTTACAACGACATCCAATTTCTCCATCGTCTCATAGTTCTCACTCAGGAAACGATATTCAAACGCGTAGTATTAGTACACGTCGTGATTTTGACGAAGGTTATGCGGGTAGTTCAGAACTCGAACTTTCGGATGGTGGTTCTACTGAAATACCAATGAAATATTCTAACAAAACAAGTAATATTGAAGAATATCAAGTTTATGAATTTCAACATCAAGAACAAATATCGAAATCGAAGCGAGCAAGTTTATCAGAAAAAACTGATCAATCGTTCGTACAACATATAAAAAATAATGCTAGAAAAAATGTTGTTCAACCAAATTCTAGATTAAGAAATGTATCGATTGTTGATGCATGTATATCGTCAAATATTTCACTTGTTTAAATTTGTTTTGTTGAAAGAAAAAATTAATTCGATTCATCATTAAATTATGTTTTTCAGTTTAATCAATGTGTCTTTATTGTAACATTTTAGACATAAAAAAATTCAATTCAACTAACAATTCAGGTATTTGCTTCTCTTTAATTTGTTAGCTTAAAACTAATAATTTCGAAGTAACTCGATCGATAGATTACTCTCTGCTTGAATGACGTCCACCCGTTGGAGTTACTGATTTCGAAAGGGTAGAAGGTTTATTCGTTTGAGTCAGACTCCAACTGCGAAGTCGAGAATCATCCGCTGGTACTGTAAGAGAATTGTCTACTCGTCTTGGATCTGAGTTTGTCGGTGTTCGTGGTGAATAGAATCTTCCTTCATCATTAATGGTTACTGGAGCTTGACTTAATCGACGAAAACTACTCTCATTTGATGGTATTGGATGGAATAATTCGGGTGGTTGAGGAAGAAAAAAACTTGTTCGTCGAGATACTGATGCGAAACTTAAACGACGTCCTTGAAATTCGACATCTGCAATGTGTAAAAGTGCTTCCTGATGAGAATTTTCTAATTTGAGTACATTTGTTAAATGTGTATAAGCTTTACTTTTAATATCTAAACCTAAATAACCAAGACCTAAAAGATAATATGAATTTATCTTTTTACGTTTGTTCTTATCATCATGAAATATGCGACAATCAGATACTGAAAGATTCAAAATTCTATCATTGAACATGTGTTGTTCACCATAATCGATTAATTGATTAAAACAATTTTTGGCTTTTTTATCATTGCCAAGATTTAAATATGCTAATCCTTGATAATAAATTGCATCAGTTGATGTTTGTTGGCCATTTTCAGTAGCCTTTTGAAATAATTCATCAGCTTCGTCATTCTGATGAATTCCTCTATATGCTAATCCCATATAATATAGAATATCATTTCTCAACGTTAACTCGCTAGAAAATTTGGATGCTGATTGTAACACATTAATAGCTTCGGAAAATTGTTGCATGATAATAGATTGTTTTGCAAGTTCAATACAACTAAAAACACATTGCCTCTTTTCTTTTTCTCTTCCATTTGCTTGCCACGGATGTGTTAAAATAAGATCATAAGCTTTACTAGATTGTTGTGTAATATTTAATAATGTTATATATTCAAGATAAAGATCATCGCGTGTTTTAACCAAGTTGAGTTGTACTTCAAGTTTCTCTAAACGTTTTTCTGGCACATAATTGAATTTCTTATATAACTGATCAAGTTCATATAGAACACGAGCATCATTCATATCACACGTCATTGCTTGTTCAAGTGATTCTAATGCTTGTTCCGGTTGTTCAAGATGATTATAGTAAGCAATTGCTAAATTACGATGAACAATAGCAAACGTATCTAGTAGATTACGTGACACTTCCCAATGTTCAACGGCATCTGAATAACGTCGTTTATCATACAACAAATTTCCAAGATAATAATGAGCGTATGAATCGTCTGGATTAGCAGCTAGAGCACTTTCTAACACAAACATATCATCCAATGTATTTGGAAAACAATAATCTGATAGTGCAACAGCTGCTGATTTTCGATGAGCTTGTGCACGTTCCATTTGTTTCAATTTTTCATGAAAATGACCTAAATAATAATAGATCATAGGATATATTTTTGAATTTCCATTTCGAGCTAAATATAAATCAAGTAAATCAACACTTTCTTGATATAAACCACTATGACTATATTCATTTGCCAATGAAATAAAATTATGTACATCATTTCTCATTAGACTAATTAGATCTTCTTTTACTTTAACTGCTCGGTCCAAATCATCCCCTAGTCTATCTAATAAATATAATTCATAACTTGAACCAAAATCGGACACATTCAATTGAATTGTTTCTAAAGCATAATTAATGGCATCATCGAAACGTCCAAGTTTTCGTAAAATTGCTATACGAAGATTTCTTGCTTGACAATTTCGATTATTTCTTGACAAAGCTTTGTCAACTAATTCTAATGCATCGCTATAGGCATGTTGAGAACAAGCTATTTGAGCTAAATGAAAATAAGCACTATCTTGCCATGTCGATGACCATGTCGCTTTATAGAAGATTGAATATGCTTTGTCTATTCGTCCTTGTAGTTTTAATGACAAACCTAATTGATAATAAGCTTCGCTATCATACGGATTTGAATTATGCTGCGTTAACGTCGTTATGGCTTGAAGAAAATGGTTTTCACTCAAGCGAAATAAACCTTTTCGTAATAATAACAGACCATAAGCTACATTTAGTCGAATATCATCTGGATCTCGCTTGAGACCTTCAAGATAATACAATTCTGATTCTAACATTGTATATTTAATTTGTTCAAGATGTAAGCCCGCACAATACAATTTTTCATTATTTTTCATTTCGGACGGTAGTACCATGTCGGGTGGTAACGATGGTAATTTTTGTAGACGTTCTTGTTCTGGACGATATGCTACTAATATATTATTATCAGCATCTTTAACTTTAACAGTAAGATTATGCGGTTGTTCATCAGTATTTAGGATTATGGTTCGAGAAAATGGTTGTGTTGGTGATATTGTAACGGTATCATTTATATAAACTTTTGTTTTACTACGTAGGTCGATGATAGCAATATTATACACGGATGTTGCGTAAACGTGTAACGTTGCTCTATGACTTTCAGAGTCAATATCCAAATTGATAGCAGCATGAACTGTAGAGTTTTTGATCGCTGCACCTATAGACTTATACGGTAATACATAGACTTTGAATGACTTTTCTTCATACGGATTTATCCATGATAAATTTGCTTTATGATCAGTATAAACACCAGACATTAATTCAACATATGAAGAATCTTCACCTGTCAAATTCTAAATAAAACAATGCATTGGTATCAAAGAGTACACTATGACACCACAATGTCGGCTACAGCTGAAAAAAGTCTTTCTTTCTAAAAACGTCACTAAAAAACATTTGAATTATTTTGTAATGAGGAAATTTAAATTCAATTTGAATTTTTCAATTCACATTACATTTTTTTAACTAAAAACCTATATTGAAAATAGATTTGCTAGGTCAGATTTTTGAGCACTACAAAGTAGTAAGCAACTGCTGTTGTTTTATTATACTGATCTGAGAAACTAGAATGTACATGAAAATTTCAAGGATTCATCGAGCTATAGAATTTTAAAGTTGACTGACTTTCGTCATTTTGTTACTTACTCGATTTGATACTTGATCGAAATCTTCATCTCTCCTAAAAATGAAAATCGAAAGAAAGAATTATAAATTCAACTCAGCTAGTCAAATTTAACTCAGAGAAGATATACTACAGAATCTTAAAAATCTCAATTTATTTAAATAGAAATATTTTCACATACCACATTCGCTGTTTCTTTCCTGGTGCAATATGATGATTTGCAATAAGCAAAGTACCTGCATTTTTCTTATTATCATAGATGCCAAAAAAATCGTATTCAGAATGATCTGTCATATATGTTGTTGTACCGATTAGATTTTTATGTAATGAAATATCCAGAGAATCAGCAATAGGATATTTTGAAACAATATCTTGATCCTGATCATAAACAGCATAGACATCAGACGGAAATATAGATTGTGTATTATCATTCATGGGAACAGCCACATTAGCCCACCATGAAAATGTTTGTGGTAAAAATGTTCTATTGTAAATTTGTACTGATATCTCCAAATATGCTTTACCAGGATACAATGTAAAATTAGCCATCATTTTTAGACCAGTTATTCTATCTATTTCACTAGTCCAAACAGTTTTACTACCGTCAGAATTTTGTAAAATACCTAAGAAAAAAACCCACAACAAATCATCTTAGAAAGTATCAAGTTTAAAATATGGTATATACCATATTCAATAGGACTGTATGTATACGATTTTTGATGTTGAGGCCAAATGAATCCAATACCTCCTGGAATTGTAGAACTGAGTGAATCCAGAAGAACAGGTTTTACAAATGTATTATGATAAATAAATTCATGATTATTTGTTCTATCTATCGCTCGATGAATACGTCCTCCAAGTTCCGGTAGAAAAAAAATATGAAGATATTCGTTTTCAAGATTAACCATATGATAAGGTTTTATTTTTGGTTCATTTAATACTTTATCATTAACTGGATGAGGATAATTTTTTTTTCCTTTATCGGTAAATATGGGATTTTTTTCTGGGATATCAACACCATACGTTTCAATCTCGACGACATCTTCCCAAACGCGAACAGTTTTATTTATAGTTTTAATGGCTTCTAATAGTGATAATTCTTCGTCTTCTCTTTGTATATCATCCATCATATAATTCAAATAAAAAATAGATTAAAAATCTTTTTCTACAAAAACAATAATCACATTTATGAAACTATTGACTATCAAATTTCTCAATTTTTACAGTTACCATTTAATTTGAAATATGCCTTTGCTATAAAGTCATTTCACTTTTAAGTGGTAAAACCAATAATCTTTCTATTCTGATATCAGTTAAATGTGATTATTGGAAAAGAGTTTTTCTATGCTACGCTATGATGGAACAGAGTAGTAGTGGAAAAAAATATATTTTCTAAAAGTTAGATCATTTTTACTTATCTTACTTCTGTATATTATATGAGTCAACCACAAATTAAAGACAACACGTTTGAAGGTTAAGATAGTTTATTGTAATATGCTCGCATTGTCCGTTTACTTTAATAATACTTTGTTTTTGTAACGGTTGATAAAAATCGAAGGCAATGCTACTAACGCAAGAAGTCAATAGAAAAGCGTAAAAAACAATGGAGAAAGCCAAAACAAATGTACTCTATTCAACAATAAATCAAAAGAAAATAAATCCTATACTTGCCACACTCAAAGATTGCCGTGATTTATTTTGTTATTTACAGAAAAAAATATTTTTTATTGATAAAAATAGTATATTTTACCAAGAGTATGAAGAATTTGATGATTAAATTTACGATTGAAGTTGTAGGAGCAAAATGTAACTTAAATGAGTCGCTTTTGTTTACTTTACTATGTTGGTTGAGGACTATTTTATCTGTTTCTTTTGTTACCAAATAAAATAAACAATTAAAACGTGCAACAGTCCTTTCAGAAAAGAACTCAAAAATATCTGACAATGATGATCGAAAAGTCGTATAAAAATTGGCTTTACACATAAAACTAAACGAAAATAAAAGAATGTTACCTGTTTGATGAAAAAGTAGTCATTAAATATTTTTTGAATATCTTTTGGTTGATGGCAGAAGACCGCTGGAGAGCTGTAGTTTTCCCATTTTATAGTCAAGAATATCTTCTTTCAAAAACTGTCCAGAAAATGTTATACAAGAATACTTTTGTAGATCGGAATTGACAAACAAAACGTTTATAGCTTTTTGTATGTTTCTCTACGTCAGAGTCGTAAATTTGGGATGGGGAACGGCAGTGTGTACACCCACCCCCTCCCAAAAAAAAATAAAAATTTGTCGTTTCCTCTCAGCGGAAATTAAAAGTTTTTTTCGGTTTTTTTGCTCGCACGGCGAAAAATGTTTTTCTTACACCCCCTCAGAAAACTTTTTCGATACACAAAGCATTAAAAACTTTTTACATCCCCCAAAGTTAACTGCCTATTTATGGCCCTGCTCTATGTGATTAGTTAAGCTCGTATGTTCTCTAATTACTTTATTCACATTCACATAAACCTAAGCTTTCCATCTTTTATAAATTTTCTGGTAGCACAAGACTGTTTTTTAAAAAATGAAAATAACAGTACGGGTTCGAACCTGAGACCGACATCATCCTACGCATGAGGAAATTTTGTCGATGTTTCACGACGTTGGGATCATGTAGTTGCAACATCAAATGCGTGGTCACGTGTGAACTTTCTATAGTTTCACACGCGTTCACATGTGTCCACACACCATTTTACGACTTCCACTAGTGACCACAGGCGAAAACGCGAAAGGTTGACGCGAAAAGTTTCTGTGAACAGTTCACACGTTGTCACAAGTGGAATATATTTTTCACGAAGAATCGCATCGAACTAACAATTCGAAAAAAGAGGAACAACTGGTGCGTAACTGTCAATAATGTAAAACGATAACAGCTTAGGTCACGAATCCGGCTCTGTTACGTCATTCACATGGCTGTTCGCTTCAATTTTAGACCAACTTGACCTCTCCATCTTTTAAAATGACCTTGGTAAACAGTGTTGGCTGCCAAACGAAAAGTGCTTTTGAGATATGGGGTAGCGCCAGTGTACGGCGCCTATTGACCTTTTCATTCAAACAACTGTTATAACTTTTAACTGAAACGTTGCCTGGAGCTAAAAGATGTCTCACTTTGCTCAGAAATATTTGTTCTACAATCTGAAAACATCAAAAATAGTCTTTAGATTTTCTATCAATTTAAAGCAATTTCTGAAAAGTCAGTTTTTAAAGCTTTCAGGAAAGTTTCTGAAAAACCCTCATGAACCTTTGATGAAGACCTCTCTTTCAAGGAGTCGGATAATAGATCGCTTGGACTATTCAATGATGTGTTTACCTCAATATTAACCTTTTGGGAATATTTTCGTATTTTTGAGGAGTGCTTAAACTTTCTGTTACCTCTCTTCCTTACGGGCGGACGGACAATGCCAGGTATTCTTGAAAGACGAACGACGAGAATCGAGCTTTTTCGTTCTCTAAACTCTTGTAATGTTGTTTCCAGCCATGTTTTTTTTTTCGTTTGAAACGGTGCTCAAAGGTATATAAACAATATGAATCGATTCATAATACATTGTATAAGATCTGTTGTATTTCTATGAAAATCGTATATGGATAGTTTAAGAGTATTCTGGCTATTTTTCGAATATCATTTTTGTAATACATCAATAGAAGTTTGACAATAAAATTTGTTTACACGTTTTACTTAATGTTTCTTGGCTATTTGAATTGTGGCCATTCAACCGTGTTAAATGGTATTGGTGAAGACAAGTCCCATAACTGAATACGAGAGAGAATAAATTAATGAGTACTAGCTGCAATCTATTTACGAAAGAGCCGTATTCACATCCTGATGAGGTCGCTACATATAGGCACTGTTTTCTTACGTTCTGTCTATATAATATATGTAGTCATACGGTCAGATTTCAAGCCGTTTGACAGTTAACACATAGGATGTGAATATGGCTCATTGCTACGATTACCTCAATAAAAATCGGTTGGAACAAAAAACGTTTTTATCTTTATACTGAATCGTACTCCTGTAATTTTTCTCTACAATCGTCTGTTTCAATAATTAGTTTAAAGAGACCGATGCAAAAAATATATAATTAATTATTCAGGTTTGAACCGTATTCCAGTAGAAAAATTTTTTAAATATTTTCTGTCGATAATATAATCACAACTGTTAACTAATATCGGTGCTTCATTTGATAGAATTTGTTTCTTTTTGCCAATATTAAATGCGTCATCATTACTTTTCGCATATAATACTTGAATCAATAGTATTAGATGAAATAACAAAAAAAAGTCGGTCAATGTTGGTAATTCGATAAGTAATTTGATTGTATTAATGCACAAATTTTAAATGAGAATCTACTCACGAACCAATTTATCCATATCTTATTACTATTACTTAGGAACAGGCTTTCATAAAAGTACTTTTTTTAAACACTGGTATTGCAAGTTACTGTAATCAATAATTTTCATAGATTTTTTAAATATGGATAGTACGATGTAAAATATGTGCATCATTTGTCTATATCAATATCGTTCAGATATAAACTTTCAAGATAAATCTAAATTAATTTTCGAAGTAAATTTATTAGTTTGATCGAATGTTGGATCATTAATTAATTATCACGCATTATACATTCGTATTAATATCTAATAAAATATATTTACAAATAATGAATAAATTGTTCTTATCTCATATAACAAAAATCAATTGCATGTTTTTAGGGGTAAATTACAGTTTTTCAACTAAGTTATAGTTTCACAAATGTATGGAAACAATTGATCATGTTCTAATAAATATAATGGTTGTATACCGAATAATACAATAAAATCAAGGCTATCGATATATTCACCTATAATTCATTAGCTTTTCTTTGATCGTATATTGCCTCTTGTTTTCGACAATTGATGTCATTATCATTTTCTTCTAGTAATCGTTTTTACATATGAGTCAGTAGTATAAACACAAACAAAGAATGTAAAAACAAACATATGTCAAATTCGCTCATAGCTTCGTTCAAGAAAATTTGATTCAATTTATCCAAGTAATACGTTTAACTAGTTTTAAAAATTCTTCACTATCTACCTCATATTCAGTAACAAACTTAGGTATGATACGCTACATATTTTGTCTCTAGCCTCTTATTATTTATAATTTAGCACTGAATTGGGATGTATGAACTCTACTGATATAAAGAAACTTTTATCCGGCTAATCCTAGTGTTTTCCTGTAGAATATGTCAATAACATACTTTGACTTATTGCATTATAGAATGAATTTTGAATTGCACCTTGTTATTTTGCAGTTCATTTTTTCTTTTATTATTTTAATTATGCTCTTTTACAATGAGAGCGACAAAACACAAAATGCTCGTTGTTCTATTTGTTACACACCACACACACACGCGCGCACACACACACAGCCACAAAATGATAAAATAAACGGAAAAAAGCGAACGATACAATCTGTCTAGAAGAAGTAAGAAGTATATGTGTGTGTGTCAAAAAGAAGAGAAACAACAACAATAACAATAAATATGAACGGGGAATAAACAAAACAATCTTTTTCTAAAAACATTATGAATAATACATGCACAATTAAAACATGTCAGTTTAGTAAGAAAAAAAAAACAACGGCGATGAGAATGAGCTTTGAAATACAATGTATTTACTAAACTAAATCAATTCGGCATCTATTGAGTATTCAATTTTCTTTTAGAAAACATGCAAAATGGTAAAACTGGTGTTGTATAATTTATTGCATAGAAAAACAACCTGTAAGCAGTAATTAGTGTATTTATCAACGTTTTTAAATTACACATACAACAACCAACCAAATAAAGTATAGTATACCGGCAGTTGTAAAATATATGACAATAGAAAATAGAGATACAAAAGAGATGAAAATGAGAGAAAAAATAATATTAGTAAAATTGCACATTCATTGAACAAAGTCAGATTTGTCACAGATAAAGAGAAAGAGAGAGAGAGAGAAATAGTTAAAAAAACGTACAAAACACAGTGAATTAGTTTATGCAAGATCATGGCCGATTATTTATCTAATTATTTATAATTAACATAGTGTGGAGAAAAAACTCATTCGATTTTAATTGATGAATCAACGTGATTATCATTATTATTCGTTGTTATTAAGTTTGTATCAATGATAATGGCGTTAGAACCATTTATTTTATCAACAGGTGAATTTGTGACGATGTTATTGCCATTAATTTCACCATTTGATTGTTTCGATTTTGAGACATCACGAAACTTCTTCTGGAATAATGATGATCCACGTTTTAGTTTTAAGCGTTCAATCTAAATAGAACAAAACAATAGCATAAAATGAAGTTCATTTAGACAGTTACTAATCGGATAATTTTCCATCTAAAGCATTAGCTCCATGCGTGTGTTCTCTCTTCATTACATTTACTTTTAATTTTTTGAATAGACTGGTTCTAAGATTATGGACTTTGTCAGTGAGAATTTAAACAGTCTCGAATCGTTACTCGAGAACTTTCAGTTTATTCTACATTTTCTAATCTAGCTTCTTTCATGATGAGAAAGATTACAAAGAAAGAAACGCTAAAACATCAAAACATTACAATCAATTGCAAATGACGAGTAAGAATGTGAAATATCTTGAATTAATAATGTTTGATAAATTTGAAGCAAAGAATAATGCAATTCTCTTTGCATAGTACAATTTCATAAAATAAGATTCAAATTAAATTAACAACAACAACACTAACTGAACTCACACTGAAGGCGACTAATTGTCATTAGTTTAATTGACAGTTTTGTTAAAGAATCGAAATCCAATTCTCGTTATTCAAAATATACATACATAATATGACAACACCACTCACTAGAAAAATACTTGAGGACACCCTTCCTCTTCCTGGGACGAAAATGAAAATTTTTTCGACTTTGAGTCGCCATGTCAAGTGTTCTCTATAAACAGACTCACAAAAGTATCGCTTTCGCAAGAACAAAAGATGAGGCTGAGTAGAGTGTTTTCTTCAAAGTCATTCAGTTTTCCGAGTTTATCCGTTCAAAAGTTCTTTAGATATATTTTTTAAGATACGTTTTTTTCTGTTTAATTCATATTCCTTGCGGTTATATTTTTCAGCTATGACCATCTAGTGCACGGCGGCGTTTCAATCGGAAGAACTTGCCCAATATGGCTGAAATCTTTAGCACGTGTAGATTAGACACAACAGTGGATGTATATTTTTTGGTTTTGAAAAATCTCGGAAAAATCTCAAAGAATAAAACTTTTACTAAACTAATACCAAAAAGAACCTCTATTTGCATGTTATTTTGTATTTCCGATCCTCAGTTCAAAATACGAGAAAATCTTTGGCAGAAAAAATCTAAAGTTAGCCTATTTGCCGCAAAAATGTGAGCCATATCGTCAAGTTCTGGTCGAAACGCTCCTATAGACAATTGAATTTTGTGATCTGTATGAAAGCGAAGAAGATGGAAGGATTCAATATAGCAGAACTTCAAAGCAAAAGTTGCCTAGCAAGAATATCTACATGCTCTTACTGGAGCATCGGAACGCGGCGACAAACCGCTCGTCAGAAATCCGAGAAAGCAGGAGTGTCCTTAAAGATTAAGGGAGATACGACAATCTGGTTTGGCAGTACATACAAAGACTAAACTATGAAAGCAACGTACACATACACACACATAAATATTTAAATGCATCTATTTTTTTACCCTAACATCGTCATTCTCTGGTTCTCTAGAATATTTTTATCATATTTATAATCCGAAAAAAGAGAGCATAGAAGAAACTCAAGTCAGATACATACATCGTCCATTTTTCTATCTGTTCCATTTGCTAACAAAAGACGAAATTCTCTTTCCAAAATTTGTCGTGCCTAAAACAAACATTAAAAATATAATACACATGTAAAAACATTGACTATTGGAACACACCTGTGTTTGAGTATTGGGTATTTGTAATGCTAATGCCATTGAATTTGCTTCAAATGTCTCATCAAGTGCTATTAATCCACCATGAATGCCTGTTTCAATAAGATTATTTGCATATTCTTTTAAACCACTTATTGTTTGCAACCAGTGTATCACACGTTCATTGCTCCATATAAAAACGTCTATAAAATGAATCAAGTGATTATTTTCCAAATAGTAAAAATAATAGTATATACTATTACCTTGATTTTCATTCAATGATTCTTCACGTCGTCTGTCTAGTTCTTTTTTATCATAGTTAATACGCTTTAAAACCATAACTCCATAATGAAAACTGGTTCTACAGTAAAAAATTTACATTAAATGTTGTCGAAATGGAGTTTTAGTGATCTAAAATAAAAATAACTGACCTGTGAAAACTATCGACCATTTTCAATTGTTTACTCAAATCTTTTTTATTCAAATGTTCAAGCATTCTTGCATCAACTAAACATTCCATAAAATAACTTCGATATTGAGGTAAACCAATACTGGGCAACCACTCATTGCCAATCCATTCGTGATTCATTTCACCAAAGGCTAATGACTAAACAATAAACGAACAGAATCAAAAATAAGCATGTAAAGATGTACTTGATCACCTACCGTAACAGATGTTCTTGGTCCTTCAGGTGATGTTAAATTCATTATCTCTTGAATAGCAAGACGTAATTTCAGTCGATGCAATGGATTACTAATACCAATTTGACGTTGAATTTCTTCTTCATTTAGTTCAGACATGATTGCACCCGATTTTACATTTGCTCGACATGCAGCTACATACCATGCCGGCATACTTAAAGATAACTATAACACAAAAAATAATGTACTATATGTCTATAATACACGAGTCAACTCAATATACCTCGAGCCAAGCAACAACAGTAGCACCATCCCATGATGAAAATGGACGATTACTTTTGATGGCGTCTTCAAGAAGCTCTTGCCTATATATAAAAAAAATTAGTAAATATAATAAAACTCAAAACAACTTAATTCAATTTACTTTTTCTTAATTCGACGATCAAATTCGATTTTTCCTAAACTCAACAATGTTCCTGTTGATGATTCGTTTGTATCAATATTGCCACTATCATGCGTAAATGCTAAAAATGACACAATTTAAATATTTCAATTCAAAACTTTCTTATGTAGTATACACTAACTTCTTGAAATATATGGAGAGGAATAGTCTTGATGTAACTGTTGATGTTGAATACTATTTATTTTTTCTGTTCCGATACTTGGTTTTCGTGCGCCACCAAACAATCTCCCTAGTGAATTCCGAATACCTTTCTTTTTTTGTTGATTTTTGCTATGCATAGAATCGTCACTAGAATTTTGACTACTTATTGGACTAGGAGAATCTTGATGAGTAGTATTTCCAGTCGTTGACGGAGTTGAACTAAAAGAAGAACGTTTTTTATTGAAAAAAGTGATTAGCAAAAACTTTGAAATTGAATAACAACAAACAAGCCAGAATGTATCAAAATATATTGCATATTTTACTCACTTTTCTTTCTGCTCTTTTATTTCTCCCTCAACGTATCAAACTTATTGAACAAATCTTTTGTAGAATATTAGATTTTAATAAACTACTTATCTTCATGCAAATCAGTACTTGACAACTACTTACAAATGTGGCCTAATATCTTCATGACTAGATGTAGTTGTATTTGCTCGATATTGATTGTGAATCGATGACGCAATTTGATAGTGTTGTTGATGATAATGGTGATGTGGCGTTGTCGTTCGTATCATGTTTGTAGTCGGAATTGCTGTTGTCGCAGATCCACGTGGTGGTGTAGTCGGAGGGCTGGATTCACATTTAATAAATCTGGATGGAGTTCCAAAGTCTGTTTTATATGGAATAGTTGGATCTTTGGAACGAGAATGACGTCGATAATGTTGATAATCCTGAATGATATAACATATAACCTAGTTTTTCAATTATTTTTAATCGATAAAAATAAATGATACTTACATTTGTTTTCGGCTCGGAAGTCATTGTACTATCAGCTACATTGTACGTGTACATATGCGAAGAAGATATTCCTGATGGGGTCTAAAAATAAGAAAACTAGTAGAAAATTCAATCAATTTAACTAAAATATCTTACAGTAGCAAATTTGTAAGGTTTAGTTGGTGATGTTCTTGGTGTTGAATGTCCACTAGCTGGAGGTGGCGGAGAATTTCTTAGATGTCGGTGAGATGGATGAATATGATGAGCGTTTGATATTCCATTCGTTATTATATCTTGGTTATTGACATCATCATCCATATGATAGCCGATCAATGTCACGTTTGTACCAACACGTGATTCTAATTCTTCAGCACGTAATTCTGCATCCACTTTTTCGGCTTGTATCATTCTACAATAATCAACTATGTCTTAGTAATACTTTCAACAAATTGACAAAACAAACCTTATTTCATTATTTATGGCATCTAATTGTTCTTGAAGCATAAGAGCTAATGTTTGTGCATCGCCTGGATGATGATAATGTGCAAGCTGTTGTCCACTTGTAGCTGATGGTAATACATCGATTGAATGTTGATAAAGTGAATCTTCATCATCTGTTGTTAATTCAACATCGGACGATTCAAATGCTAATCGAACATCGTTGATTACTTGAGCTTGGTCAATATTATCCCAGTCGGTAATATCTGATGGCTTGACATGAAAGATTAAATTTATTTTTGTTTACTGTTTCATTAGTCATTTTTTATTTTTACCTTATAAATATCGTTCGTTGTTTTCACTGTTCGTTGTTGAATAGAAGGCGGTGGTGGTCGTCTTATTAGTGATTCACTGTAGAAATCAATACTAGGAGGTGTGGAATAGAGACTAGTGTTTGTCGTAATTGTAGAAGGAATGGCTGATAATGAAACATTTATCGAATTTAACGTTGGCAATGACGATGAGATAACTGTTGTAGAATTATTCATATTCGTCGATGATGTGGTAATCGTAGGAACTGTTGACACAGTGTTGGTTGTCTGCGGCTCACTACAATTACAAAACAAGATTAATCTTGCATATATTATCTGTGTCATATACATACAAGCTCATTGTTTTTTGTTGAAAACGTTGAAGGTCCTTTTTCACTAGATCTAATTCTGTTTTTAACTTTTCAATATCATCAAGAAGTTTCGTCTAAAAGTTAATAATTTTCAATTAAATAACTAAAGTATTGAGATTTCTACAAAACCTTCTTACCCTTTCCGATTGTGTGTCATCTAGTTGTTTTTTTAATTTTTCACATTCCTGCACAAGTTGATTTTTTTCTTCTAATGCTTGCATACGTTCACGTAATTGAGTTTGTAAACGTTCATTGGACTCAGCTAATAATTTATCAATCGTGGCTGATAAACGATTACTATGTTCATCTGTCACTTTTTCACGTTGACGAGCCTAGAATTGTACAATATAATTAGTATCAATTGCCAATCTCTTACATTTTATTTTAATCATGAATCATGCAATAGATTGCACATCTTACTCTTGTTAATTCTATTTTAAGATCGTCAAATTCACTTTGTAATTGATGTAATTTATCATCGTTATTATTCGATTGTGTATTTTGTAAATACGATCGTTGAAATTCGTTTGATGCGGATGTCGTTGTAATTGTTGACGCTGACAAAGGAACAGTTTCCGATGAAGATGATGGTTGTTGAACTGCTGATGATTGTTCATATTCAGTATAACGTTGTATTTTTTGTTCAAGCGAATCATATTTCTCATGTAATGCCTGATATCTTTCTTCAGCCTATTTATAAAAATAAAAAAATTTAAATGATTTATCTTTTGGATTTATAAAGATGACTAGCAGAGACAGACAAATATGTTCAGAAGAGAGGAGCATATACAATATAATATTAAGTATATAAAAGACACTGGAATAATAGAGACAATATCAAAATAGTTATGAAATAAAAAGCATTCAATAAGACTCTTCTCTTCTCTAAGTAATTGCACTGCCAGCGTAAAACTGTATATAAAGGATACATTATTCCAAAATCAAAATGAGTTAAATACTTGTCATGCACATCCTTTGGAATTTATTGACGAGAATATATAGTATTACTTTCTAACTACATTTAAACGAATGAGCGGTAATAACTGAAAAGTCTATAGAAACAACCTCAAGCTTGTCTGCTTTTCTGAGGTGTAACGCTTTTATATTAGTATCTGTTACGATTGTGAACTGATGCAAAAGAAAACGTACAAAAGAGAAAATGCTGTGTGCCATTGCCCTATGCAAAAACAAATATAAAAGGACGGAGACCAGTTTTATGCGAAATTTGACCTCCTCCTCCTCAGCGAGCAGAAATGACTGGAACATTCGAAATCTCTAAACTTAGCTGATTATACATAACTTATGTGTGTATAACATATACATATTAATTAGAATTCCTTTTACCTAGCAACGATGGAATAACGTGCGTGCTATACGGATATGCAGTAGAATTGCGAAAATTTAACAGTCACTTTTCATTCATGTTGTCAGATGGCTGCCCGTAGTGGTCCCTGGTGTTTTCAAACAAATCCAGAAACCTAGTGAAAACTAAGTTTTATGAATACTAGAGTTTTCAGACTGTTTTCACCTAATGTTAAAAATTCACTATTTACTAAAACAATGTCAGAACGAGTTGACAACTTCAGGATATACAGTATTTAGAGTATTCTGTATGATATCTATAAGGAATATACAGAAAAGAATTACAAAACTCTATCATTTTTAAAAAGGATTTCTACAAAACCTCTGAACAAACCCATGATTTTGCGATTTTTCGAAGATATAATCACCTTTATCAGATACAATTAACTATATTCTGAAGTTGTTAACTCATTCTGACTTTTTTTGAGCGAATAGTGAATTTTTTAGCGTTAGGCATTAACAGCCTGAAATCCTAGTGCAGTGTCATAGCTGGAACATACGGAAAAATCTAGTATTTAATTCACAAAAGATACTGCCAGGCTCTGTTAAGTTTTCTATTAACACATATTGTAGAGCTTTTCAAGCATAATTTTTCTATACCAAAGATGAGTCGGATCCTCTTTTACTTATACGAAAAAAAATCATACAGCCTTGACTCAGGATACCAGTTGATCAAAAAAAGGTTTTTCTCTATGCTTAACTGGTTACTAAGGACGAGTCATATACCATTTTGTACAGTTTTTCATTGGCTACTTTTTTGTACCGAGCCCTATCCTATGTCTAACTTAGATTTTGAAAAAAAACATATTTTCAGAAACCTTAATGCATTTGACACACTGTCACAAAAATCATAATAAAAAATTTTCCACTACGTTTCTAAGGTTTGACTATATCGAGAGATGTACACAAATATTTTCTCTACAAACTGCGATTGAAAGTATTTTAAAAATCTTGAGGGACAGCTTTCGCATAAAATTGACCCCCATCTTTTGTCTGACATTAACTGAAACAACTTTTTAACTCAAAACATTAAACAGCGGAGTGCATTGTAATCAATTTACCGTATTTAGAAGAACTGTTTTACTTTATGCATTTACATTGTAATATCATCGGAGAGAAAAGAGTAGCGTAGTCAAAGAATCGGTCATAATAGTAGAGAATATATAATAATGAAGTATAGCATAGTTTACGAAAGAAAGAAGAAGTGTAAGCCATCACAGATGTCGACTTTTGGTGAAAGTTTAGAACATCCCTTGATTTGCTAACGATGTCCAATATCCTATTTCTATTAACTCACGAGTAACAAATCTTATAACATCAATGAAAAGGAGAAAATCAACCTTACAAAAACGATAGAATGTTGAACAGCGTGTGCCCTCAATAATGCGATTTAATTTTATCAGAAACAAAAATATAATAGCAAAGGAAAATTGAAGATATAAGGCTAGCTTTTATACCAAATACGGTCTGTTATAAAAGATCATGCTTTTTACAAAAGTCATAGAATTTCCATTGTCATCACTATCATAAGACTATAAACAAAATAAGTGAGTGATAAATGTTTTTTCTTTGTCACAACACTTTGCTCCAAATCACACTTACATGTATTAATTGCGTTTCTTTAGTTGCTAATTCATTTTCTAGTCTATTATTAAATTCTGTTATATGTGTCGTTTCTTTCTGAATATTTAAATAGCGTTTTTCTAATGTTGTTATTCTTTCCTCTTGATCTTCTTTTTGTGCTTGTGATTCTTTTAAATCTCGTTGATATTTTGTTGTTTGTTCTTGAGTATGCGTTAATTCACGTTGTATCATGTATAATTTTTCTTCTAATTCTTTATTTCGATTCGTCAATTCATGTACACGTGAACGAGATGATACTAATTCATTACATTGTTTATCCATTAATTCTTGCATTTCAATTAATTTACCCGTTAATGAATCAGGATCTATAGTACCATTTGATAAATTCTTAACAAAAAAGTAAAATAATATTATTACAAATCAATCACATACAAAGGATAATTTTCTTACTTTCAATTGATTAATATCGATTACTTTTGATTGTGTACTTTCACGAACATTCATCAACTAAATTACGTAGACAATGAGTTATTGATATATTTATGTTTATTAATTTTCTTACATCATTTTTTGTTCGTTCTAATTCTTCTTCTAATTGTGTATTACGTTCCATGGCTACTCTAAGACGCTCTCTTACCTAAATCAAATTATAAAATTATTATCAATTAACTCTACACTATTGTGTGTAACGTTATACTTCGTGTTAATCTTACTTTTTCATCGAGCGCTTTATGATGTTCAAATAAGGATTTTAATGCTTTAAGTACTTCGACTTCTGATGATACACCCTGCGGTTGTCGTTTAAGTACAGTCATCCTGAGGGACTAAAATTAATAAATAAATAATATTAATTATTAATTATACAAATGATATATAAAATCATACCCTTTCGTGTCTAGCCACAAGTTGTTCCAAATGTTCAAGTAGTAACTAAAAGACAATGATGATAAAACAATGCAAATAATCTTATATAATTTCAACTTACTCGTGTATTATTCCTTTCAGCTTTAAGTTCATTGACTTCATCTTCTTTTTCAGTTAATTGTTCTCTTAATTGTGCTAATTCTCGTACAAGTGTGACATAATCCTACAAAACAAACAATAAGAAAAATGATCAAATTTACACAATAATCAATCAGCAGGGAACAAAATGTCCAATTTATTTCGATTTTCCATCATTTAATGAAAATCGTAAAAAACCAACAAAAATAACAACAACAACAACAAATAATGAAAGTTTTATTTTCATCAGTTTGTATAATTTTCTTTCTATGAATAGTCATTTTCGTCTATACTATCGTGTTTCTTCCACTTTGGAGACATCCGCTTTCTATACATCACGAATATTTTTTATTATTATCATTCATTATACAAGATAACACGAGTATTCTTCTCTTTTCTACTCGTAATGTAATATACACGATAACAATTAAAAAAATAATAACGTTCATTAAATTTATTGATCTATTTGTTCTTATATATACAGATTTTTCTTCTTTTTTTTTTTATTTGTTACTCAAGGCTAATCTTAATGAGGAAACGGTACGAAGTGAGGATGTATTAAAAAAATCAGTTCATTCAAACATAAAATGGGACAAGTTGTGTGATCCGGAATAATAAATGACATTCAGAAGTACTAGCATATTTCTTGACAAACAAATGGGTTTTTTTTCCTTCTTGTTTTATATAACGAGAAAGAACAATGTTACATTATGCCATAATTTATCACTCAATAAGAATAGACAGACTACCTTTATGATTAGTAAATAGTGTTAAAAATACAAATTATAAATCACTGTCATGTTTTATGTATTAAATATGTGTACAAGGTTTGTTTTAGAACTATTGGACTAAGAACAATAATAAATTTTTTCTACTTTTTTTTTTTTTTTTTTTGTTTTTTCTCTTTAGATATTCAGAATACCATTGACTTTCGATGAACAAATCAACAACTTCCTATAAACAAAATGTCATTGTAAAAAAAAGCACTTTAAAAAGGTAGTGATGAAGTATCCTTCTATACATCTTTATATGTATAATTCAATAATGTAAGAAAAAAGCCGACGTTCATTTAATCAAGTTTATCTTGTTGAAATTGATGATGTGTTGAGTTATTGTACAACCTACTAATACATCTCAATTATGCTAACATATTTTCTATTCTAAAAGATGTTTATATTATTATACAGATACAATAAGTTATAAACATCTTATTCAATTCTTGTCATTTATACCAGTATAATATTCATTAAGAGTGGTGATGCTACTGTATTTTATTTTTCGTTTGTTCAGAAATGAATAAACATTCATTCATTCATTCATAGAGATCAAATAAAATCTATTTTGACCTTTTTGTGTATGCTATGTTATTTAAAATACATCAATAAATAATAATCGGTCAAATCTGTATGTTCAATATCGTATACATACACATACAGACACACACATATATATATATATATATATATAAACACACACACACTCATACAAATACATTTTTTTTTCCCACACCTAAAATAATTTTTAGATCAAGCGAGAATTACCTGATAAATAAAAAAAAAAGAGAATTTTGCCTTTCAATTATGCAATATAATATACAAAAGAAATGAAATAGTGAACATAAGACAATCAATGATTATACCAGAGGATAAAGTATACGTTCCTATTCATAATTCGTAAAGAAAAAAGACGAAAGTTCAATGACAACGCTTTAAACAATATTTGACTTAAAATTCTTTATTAGTGATCTTCTCTTTTCACTAACAATAAAAAACGAGAAAAATTTATACTATACGTAAGCATTTTGTTAATAATGCCTAGGAAACAAACTCATCTCTTTACTTAAATAAAGGAAATATTACGTAGAAAAATTTTACACTTGATATAAAAAAAAAAAAAAAATCTATTTCACCTTGACATAACTCATAACATCTGTAGCATTTTTAAATAAAATAATATCAAAAATCTATTTCTTAACATACCTTTTGTTGTGATGATAGATCACATGATAATGATGTATTAATAATTCTACTATCTTTTGTTTTATTTGATGTTACTAATTTTTCAATTATATTTTCATTCACAAATTGATGTGTATAATTAGAAATTGTCTTAGATGAAAATGAATTTGTTTTATCATTAGATGACCATGGTAATGGTCGTTTATATTTGTTAAAAGTTAATTTTGTATCATTATCATCAAATTGTTGATTATGATTAACATTATTTAATTTATTTAATATATCAAATGATTTTGATAGACAAGCAATTGTCGATTGTTTATTTAACATTGTTGGCCATGAATTACGATATTTTTTTTTCATAATTAAATCATGTTCAATAAATTGATTATTCTCATTTTTAAGATAATCATCATTCTCATGAATTTTATCATCAATATTTTGATAATAATTTGTAAAATTTTTTGTTAATAAATCATAAAATCTTGAAGATGTTGATAATTGTTTTCTAATTTTATGTTCAAATAAAAATGGTGATAATGTACAATCATTATTATTATCATTTTGATCTGATAATATTGATAACATAATAGTATTAAGATTTTCTTCTTTAAAATTTTGATTATTATTATTATTATTATTATTCCATCGTTTATTCAACATTAATGACAAAGGAGATGAAAGATTTTTGATTTTATTGAGTTGTTCTTGTTGTTGTTGTTTCAAATTATTTGAACTCGTAGTATTGATTATTGTACGAACCATTATTAGACAAAAAACAATAAAAAATAGAGTAGAAATAATCGAAAATAAATTAATAATTACATATTTTAAATGTAAAAATTACATTTTTAATTAGTACTTAATACAATAATCGAATTCGGTATATCTCAAAATAATAAATTAATTAATAACATCAAGTTGAAATAAAAATCATTGTCCATAAACTAATACAATGATCTCATTTAACTAGTAGGAGTCAAGAAAATGTTCAAAAATTCAACGGTAACAAAATGATTCAATGACTAAGAAAGCGGTTAAGGTTCAATCATTACTAAGCAGAAGAAGAAAAAAAATTTCAAATCTATGTGAAGTAATAGAATTAACTAGAAAAAAAACTAAAATTCGATATCGTTTTTGTCTCTCTTGAAATAGCAACAAGATCTTCTCTCATACTGAGAAAACCGTCTTAAAAACTTTTTTTCCGATATGGTGAAAAAGAAGTTTTAAAAACCTATAATTTCCGATATAATTCCGTTTTAGATGTAATCAAAAGTTAAGATCAGAAAAAAAAAATTTGTGTTTTTTTGACAATAAGAATACTCATGAGTTTCTCTTTTGCTCTCTCTCTCTCTCTCTAACATGAAAAATTCATTTTCTAAAATATTTATCTATACAACTGGCAATTCCACGCATTGCTCTTCTCTGAGCTGAATCATAGGTTTTTTTTGCGAAAAAAAATTGTCATTTTTCCGTATGTATATGTTCTGCTGTTTTCCGCTCAGAAGTAGTTTGAAAGTAGGTGATATTTTTAATTAGTACTAAAAAAAACTACATCGACTAATTGAAAAAAGAAAATATTGTCGTGGTTTTTGAGTTAAACTGATTAAAAGCTCACTATTTTGAACCATAACATAAAATCACCTATTCTATAGTTTATTATTAAGAAGAAAAAAAAAGAAGTTAGCATTGCTCACTGTACATCTTTCTTCTAATTCTCGAAAATGATCTCACCATAAACTAAATTGTGGAAGTAAAACTTTGCTATATGATGTTTTGATGTTAAAAAGACAAAAAAAATTGGCTATCGACCTTCCTATATCCTTCTGCATAAAATATCAGTGTCTAAACAGAAATGTCTAATTATTTTTAAATGATACTTTACCAATGAGACAAACAGTAACCTGACCATTGACAACATATATATTCTCTCTCTCTCTTTCTCCCTTTTTTCTCTCTTTTACTTTTATGTATATACGAATGCAATAATGATTACGAAGTTTAAAAGACAAGCAACAATTGAGTCGCCAGCTGTATAAGTATATGGATCAACTATATACTATGTTAAATAATCAAAAATGTGTATGATGATGATGATGAGAAGGGTTACTATCAATTGTAATCGAAAGTAAATCGTTATTCTTTTTTATTATTCTGTTTTTTTTACTTTTTTTTTATTTAATATTTTATTCTCCCCAAAAAATTGCTTTTTCTTCTTTCTCTCGTTCTTTTGATGTCATCGAATCATCGTACGTATAATCTATATATAGATTTATCTATAACAGAGACAGAACGGGAGAGAGAGAGAGAGAGAGAGAGCAAAAAGGCTCAACAAAAAATAAAATACGGCAGAGATTTATTTTTTCTCTGTTCAGTTTTAGGTTTTCATTCATCTTTTATATTTGTCTCATACAGGTGTTGTGAATAAACAAAATAATACTAAAATACAATAACAATGAAAGTATCCAATTTATGAATTATATTATTCTAATAGTCAGATTCTCGTTAGTTGTCGTTTATATGTCTATTTAATAATGAGAGTAAACAAAGACAGTTTGATCGACAATAAACGAATATATTTAAAGAGGGTACAATCAGATCAGTTTTCACGGTTGTTCGACTATGTAAGCTAATTTTCGATCAATTTTCTGAAAGAAAAGTAAAGGTTCACTCATAAGAATCATAAATAGACAGAAGTGTCAGATGTCAATCATAAAATATATTTTTTTCCAACTTATTACATGGATAATATTCGAATATTGTGGTATTTTTTTAGATTATTCTCAGTAATATTCTTCTATTATAGATTTTAAAATCATAACAACAATATTTACTTTATTTTTATCAGACTAACCTAAATATATATATCATATTTCAAGAAGGGATATTAAGTGAGAAATTTTCAACAATAAATAGATATTTTGTCATGTTTAAATTTGTTGGTTTATTAGAAATATGTGTGACATTAACATTAAATACTCTGACAAAATTTGGTTGAGAAAAACTGTCTAACATAACAATGGCATATGGTGTTACCGAAAAAATCTACCATCATTTTGACATGTCAATTCATTTTTTTTATTTTTATCTCAACTAGAATGAAGGTCAACAATGCCTGAAGCGTCTGTAAGATAAAAAGAGCCATTTACTTAGTGTCACTCATTTGTCATTAGCTGTCTGCTATTTATATTCTCAATTGAAAGAGAAATAATTTTTTATTATTTAAACAATGAATAAATATATATTTATTAAACATATATATTAATATCGATATATTTCAAAGATATATGATAAATTATTTTGACTTCTCATTTTGAAATTGAAGACATCATAATTTCAATTTTTTAACAACAGAAATATATCTGTCATTTTATCCAAACTAGAACATATCATTCTCTTTTTTTTCTTTTTTATTGACGCGTTTGTTAACAATAATTAGGAAATATATAAGTCAAACTTCTATATTCATTGAATTATCCATCGTTGTTAATGATAAGAACAGTATGTTATTCGATTATTTCTATTTACATACATCGATCATTATTATATATATATATATATATTGTGAGCCTCTGATGTCTAATTGTTTGTTTATAAATTACGACATACACATTTGTAAATATGTCAGAAATTTTTTTTGTATAAAAAGATGACTATTTATTTTTATTCACTTGTAAAACGTACACAATTTAACAACTTTAAAAAAAATTTTTGTTTTTTTCAAAATTTTCAATAATGATACTTCGACTGTGTATATTGTAAGGAAGAAAGAGATTATATTTCATTTCTAAAAGAACTAATCTCATTAAGTAAGTAAACATCGTCATATTAAATTACACAAGAAAAACTTGTCAAATCCCAATGGTCAGTCAACTGACTCATTTTATTATCCTTTTGTACAATCATATTCACGCTCAAAATAATCTGATCTCTTATAAATGAAAATGATGTTCTCTATTTCTTTCATATAACAAAGAGAACAATAAGAGTATATACGGAAGGTTCAATTGCGTTAATATGTAATAGAGTTATTCCATTCCACTCCTTTTTTTTTTCTTCTTTTTTTTTTTTTTCTATTCGTTTTAATGATCTCATACACAAATAAACCACTTGCATATATAGATAGAGAGAGAACGAACAAAAAAAAAAAGAAAAATTTTTATATATAGAGATAAGAAATAGAGAGAGACAGAGAGAGAGAGAGAGCAAAAAAAAAGAAAAGAACAATAGATTATCGATGAACAACAACAACATGTCTGTCTGCATTCTTTGGATTATAAATGGATAATAATAAAGAATAAATACGATTAACAATAATACATTAAATAAGTTTAGTTTAATAATAGTCACGCATTACTATTGTGTGTTAATCCATCAATTAAGATTATTCGTTACGTTCAAGAAATATATTATCAAATTGGTAATCATTTAAAAACCAACATAACTGTACAATTTTCTCTTTCAGAGTTTTCTTCTTCTATCTCTTATTGGCACTATACAGATTAGTAAAATCGACTATAATCAATATTTATCTTAAATTAATTAATTTCGACTCTCGTTCTCTCTATAAATTCATTCTACCATACTGACAGAAAAATGGCAAACAAAATCAACGAAAAAATGTGTTAACAATCATAACAACAACAACAAAAATATAAACAAGAACATTTATTATATCACAGGCAATTTCGATTTTTCTCCTACGTTTAAGCGTAGTTGTATTTTTCTCTCTCCCTCCCTCTCTCTGTCTCACACTCCCAATGATCAAACGATGAACTGTGCAATAACTGTAATAAGAAGCAATTAGAGCACAAAAAAATATATTATCAACTGTCAAGACATTTTTTTTGCATTATTTATTATCTTATTTTGTCTATAGATAGCTATTATTACAATAGACGAAGAAGAAGAACAAAAACAATCTTTGTTTACTATTTAGAATAATACCGTTTTATACAACGAGGCAAACAGCGGGACTCTCTGTCAACAAAAAAATAAAAATAAAAAAAATAAATAGAATTTCAAATAGATCGTTATAGAATATGAATAGCATCATAACTATATTAACTAAGATAAATAGTGCAAGGTGAATATGATAAACATACGTTTTTCTCCTTGACTAATCCAAAATTGTCACCTGTTTTTGCTCAGTTATTAATTCAAGCAAATTGATACAATTTATAGATAGAAGTTGACAAGCTGTTTAGTCTAGTTGATTTGTTCTCTATAAAATATATACATATACATATAATAAACAGAAACGACAGTCGACATACACAGAGAGCAATTCAATCATCAATTAAACTTTTTTTTGTCGTAACGCTAAATTGATGATTGACTGACTGTTTGATTTACATCAATTTAGTTAAAATTTGTCAGTAATATGACTGACTCATAAACTGCGTTGCTATGATTAACTGTATATTTTTTTTGTTGTTGTATTATATACAACCATTTAAAGTAATATCCAATATAATTAATTATCATTTATACATCTAGTTCGTGTGTACATATTCATATTTTAGTCGATTTTATTTACCTACATATATCAACATGACATCATAGGAGAGAAAAATGTTTGACATGTTTTTTAAAATGAAAGTACTCTAACTTTCATTTAACTAGACTGAATTTATTGTTCTTAACAATTGACGTAATTCAGTAACAATTCATCTTTTTGATCTTTATTATTTTGAATTTGTTGAACATTTCTCCATTAAAAGAAAAGAGAGATGTTTACAATATTCAAAAAAAAACAACAATCTCTTACATTTAACTTTTATCAATTGAATTTACAAGTTTAGAAATACTAATTGATTGAATCGATATCATCATCATTGTATAAAAGAGGTTTGTATAAAGATTATTTTTAAAATATGATATTCAATAGAATAGAGACATAAATAAAAGATGCATGTTTTATTGGCTACAAAACTATGTCCAAAGATTGAATAGATTTTGATGAATTTTTTTTTCAAATATATATTTGATACTATACTATCTTGATTTAAAACTATTATCCATAAAAACATTATGATGGAAGTTGGAAAGAGACAAAATAGAAAGCAACAACATAACGAAAAAAAATGAATAGAAACAAACAGTTGGTATGAGCAATCGTTTCATGAATTAGACTTGTAATTATAAACCAAGCGAAACAATGTTTTATAGTAAAACACGTCATACGCCAAAAAACCTAAGCAAACATTTATGTCAGATACAAACTAACCATCGATCATCGTGTCTGTATGAAGGAGATAAACTTAAATAAACCTTCATAGGTATAAAAACTGTTTAAACAGCTGTAATTATTAGAAAATTATAATATATTATATATCTTATCTAGATAAGTTACAATGACACAAAAAAATATTGTCTTACCTGGGGAGCATTTAACGATAATTGTTTTAATAGTACATCTCGTTCTTTCTCGCTCTCATTTAATTTTTGTTGTGAATTTGTTAATGAATCTTCAGTTTCACGTAATTTTTCTTGTAACTAAATAAAAAAGAACAAAAAAATATTCTAGAATATTATTTAATTTTCTTGATCAGATATTATTTGTAATAAGACGATGAAAAGAATTTTTTATCTGATATTGACGATTAAAGAATAATCTAACGTCTTTTCAAAGATATCTTTTATAAAAGAAAAAGAAAACGAATCTATTTTTATCGGCAAATAGTAGAGTTAAAATTTTTTTATTTTTGAAACAAGTAGAAAGTTTTACTACTAATAACAACAGAGGACATTGATTACTCACTTTATCTCTTTCTTCGAGCATTGATACCATCAATTGTTCTATATTTGCTTCGGCTTCTTCCCCATTCTCTGAACCTCCTTGACTACCACCATCTTCGGGTATCGGAGGCATAACATCACAAATCATGTCTGAATACATTTTTCGACGTTGAATATTAAATAAATATATAAAAACCGTCTATTATATAGTACGAATAAAAAATAAAAATAGTAAAACACAATTTAACACCGAAATAATTCGAAATGATAAAAATAAATACTAATAATTAATTAATATCGATGTAACGATGAGTTTTATATAGTAACTATAATAAAATCATCTCTATCTATTTCGATTACAAATTTATAACAAAAGTCATGAAATTGACAATTTTCATTAGGTGATAATACATTCTCATCATCAAATTTTAATTAATTAAATATTAACTCAACATTTCCTCTTCTTCTTGATTGATCGACTTAAGCCTAAAAAGGCAAATAAGAAAAAAATTGACAACAAATTAAACATAATTGAGAGAGAGAGAGAGAGAAATAGTTTCTAAACTTACAAACGTTTTTTGAAAATTGCATTATTCTATTCTGTGTGTAAATGTGATTAAGTTATATAAACATATTGAGATTTTTTTAGCCAAAACATAAAATCATAAGAAATAATAACATAAACTAAAATATAATCGTTCAGATCTAAAATTTAGAGGTCGAAAGATAATGTATCGTTGATAATTAAGATTAATTTTGGGATTTGTTTTTTGATATTTTTTTTTCGTCAATTCAATAAAGCGAGACAATTTAGCCAAATATACAAAAAGATATATGACGACGAGTCTCTAGATCTTTTCATTTCTATACAGCATTATATTGGACGAAATATTTTTTCTAGAAAACAAACTTATCAATTTTGCAAAATTTTCACTTGTTGATCTTGCATTTATCATGTGTTTGGATTTTTCTTTTTTTTGACAAGTGTTTGTAAAAAAACAACAAAAATTCAAATATGAGAATAATAACAAATAAGAAACAAGTATTCGTTCCTTTCTTTCATCTGTCACTGTATCAACACAAGAGTATGAAATTATCTTTATTTTACCCACTCATTCACATTGTAAAGACATTTATTAGAAAAACATTATGTTTATACGTTTTAATTAGACTTAAGGACTATCTTTTTTTTTTGTATAAAATTTTTGTTGGTGATGAACGCAAAAGCTATCTGTGCCAAGTATACTACACGAAACAAGATCTTTCGTCAAATGATTAAATATCTCATTCTTTCTTTAACACATAAACTTAACTTAGAGATCCACTGTATTCCTCCACATATATACACAGACAAAAAGAAAAAGATGATGAACGATAAGAAATAAAAGAGGCATTATCTTTAATGTATAAGATATTCAGGGCAAAACAATACCAAGGCGATGGAACAACAGTTCCAGTTTAAAAAATAAGTTGAGAAAATCTCATTTATTCTAAATATACTGTAAAAACTACTATAATATATCTTTAATACATTAGAAAGAAAGAGAAAGTGGTGTTTGTTCTTTGAAAAAAAAAAAAGAAAACAAAAAAAAAAGAATAAAAGAAAATGTTTGTTTATTTGTGCGTATGAGAAAAAAAAAGACAGAAAGAAAAGAATAGAAGAAAATGGACATTCTAAATACGATTAAGATTTTCTTTTCTTGAAACTATTGCTATTACTATTACTATTACTGGAACTGCAATCATCGTGTTCATCATATATATTTCTTTATCTTCGAGTTAATGATCAAATCAGAAAAAACAAAAAAAAAAAACAAAAAAAGTCTTCAGTTGCTTGTCTATGTATGTGTGTTATGTTGAGTTGCGTTCTGCATGCATGTAATGAACACGAAAAAATTTTCTTGTTCAATAATTCAGAAGAAGAAGCAAACTAAGGAAATGAAGCACAAAATAGAACGGTAAAAAGTAATCATATTATAGTAAAAAGCATGAAAAAAATCCTTGTTATTAAAATGAGTTAGAAGATACTTTTAAAATTATTATGTGATTAAGAAAAACAATCAAAATTTTACTATTATTGCACAATTTTGCATATTAAATGTATATAGAGAATCAAAATACTCACAATAGAGCAATCTTTTCCTCTCAATTTCATAGGTAAAGTAAGAGGTCTTAAATGTAAAATATATCTGCTATTTGGTATTATATCAATATTCATGTTTTATCCCCAAGTGAAGTACACGAATCAACACAATAGAGTAGTTGATTTCTATATCTTGAAGAAAATCTAATAGTACGCTTTTTTAAATATACTCTTTTTTCTCTTCTCTCATTTATCGTCTCGAGATAATAATCAACTGCTTTCTCTGAAAAACAAAGGTAATTTCCGATAAATATTAGTACAGTTCTTCGAAAGAAAATCTTCAGAATAAACATTTTATCTGTTCTATGTCATGTAAGCTTCATATTGCAAATACTGACAACTAACAGATCTTACCGTTCTTTTTATGACGTTGAAGATAGAAGGACAACAACAACAATAAGACGAGAAAAAAAAAATATATGTTTTTATTAATGTACAGTTTTATGTAAATTTTTTTTTTTTCTTCATGAAATCGATACATATATGTTCAAGGATTTAAAATAAATATTGAATAGAATAAAGAAGAAAAATGATGAAAACGATAGCAATGACAACCACATTACCATCATCTATGTATTAAATGGCACATTATTATTAGACAGAAAAAAGATCGAGAATAAATGTGGTGTAAATCATATAAACTCTACATGAAACGAAAAATAGAGCAAACGAACGTGAACAAATTTTTGTCTAATATTAATAATAATTAATAACAGATTTTCACGTGTTCGACATTGCTAATAATAAAAGATTTTAGCATAAATAAGATAAGAAAACATGCTACGACACAATTTGACGCTTATAAATGATGTATAGACAAATTTTACATATTAAATAAGACATATCCTTGAATCGTTCTTAATCAATTGTCACGCAATTTCGATTGAGAATAAAAAATTTGTTCATCGAGATTTTCAACGATTATTTACTATATACGTATTTAAATATATATATATATATAGGTCAAATATCAAATAGTTAAAAAGTGTCCAATATAATCCTGATTGATCGCTTTTAAAAAATACAGAAAAGAACATCTGTTCTCCTCCTCTTCTTGTTTCTGTTTCTTTTATGACTGAACGAATAATGGTCAGCGAAAAAAGAAATAGCAACAATGGTCAATATAATATACGACGTTTGACCATGTTTGTGTCCGACATTGTGTGTAAATGTGTGGTGTAATATATCGATATTCGATATATCTATACACCCAAGCAATGAAGACAGATATGTATAAATATAATGGACAATTGCAAAGATGCGAATCTATACTATATCATCAAATAAAGAGAAGAAAAAAAACAATAGATAACAGCGATAGCCACAAAATCACTTTCTTTATCTTCAGTATATCATCTATATCTTGTTCTATCAAGCTTTTTACTATTTTCATAAAACAGAATAATAACCTATCAACTTTGAGATGCTTAACTGGAATAAATAAAAACGTAGCATAGCAGAAAACTCATCTAACACAACTTTTATTTTTAGAACAAGTTGACGATGAGAAATAGAAAATAGCGATTATTAGAGAGAGGACTGTAATGATAATTTCTTTCTAATAAAAAAAAAACCAAATGATATGTGTAAATAGCGCGAAGACCATATAATCTGTTTATTGTATCCGAAATGTTGAAATGGCAATGCTTTCACGCATTAGGAATTAATATCAAAAGATTCATAAAGTTATTATCTGACTTTAAGGTAATCATAACTAAGAATTCGAATAGTTACCGTATTTCAAGACGACACAAATTACACATACTCTTAATTCATGTTTAAAAATAAGCAAATTCCAAAAAACCATCGTTTATATTTCTTTTAGAAAAAGAGATCAACAAGAAAACGTAAAACGTTTATGTTATGAGTTAGAAAAAATGAGAAATAAACAAAACCGAATGAGTATAACTCTTGGACACGTTTACAAAAACAAAATATAAAATATGTAAAAAGAATGTTACGAAGGTAAGTTATGTTTACTTAAACCATCGATACAAACATATCTAAACTTTATATAGTAAATGTACTTTGAAAGTAAAAAAACTATTATCACTTTTCACTGTTGTTATTAAACAAAAAATAAATTAATCAATCACGAGGTTTTCAGTTAGCGACATACAACTTAATATACGTATAAAAACGAGAGATAAAGTAAAATTCTATAGTTTCATTCAAGTAAATACTGAAATTTAATTGTCTCTAGAAATTGCTAACGATCATCAATCTTCTTTTGTCAACTTTAGGAATGTTTTAAATAACTAACTAAAGATATTAAAGTTAAAAAAATTATAGATTAGTGCTTTCTAGAATCGAAGATATTTTACATTCAAGTTATTTACGATATAAATAGTAATAAGTAGCTGACAATGCAATTGTGAGAGCCACTGATGCAGTGACAGCTGCTGTACATTGAATAACAATTGAATGTTTGAATGGTGAATATTTTTCAATTTGATATAAATGATGATCATCATAATCATTCAATATAATACGAAGACAATTTTGTGATTTAAATGTTAAATAAACACGTGTTGAATTTGAATTTAAATCAAATTTCATAGGACAATACGAACTAAATCTTGGCACAATATCATTCATATCTAATTTCATTGATAATGAATTTTTTGTTTTTCGTTTTACCACTAGACAATAGGATGATGATTGATATAAGGATTTATTTGAATTAGTTGAATAGATATCATTTTTATTCACACATAAACATGGGATATTTGATGATGATGTAACAAGATGTATACGATTTTTAAATATTTTCATTTCATATAAACATAATTCAAATGTCAAGTGTGGTTGTTCACTTATTTTTGAATAAAAATTAGCTGTTTTTTTAATTTGATTATAATTAGTTGATTCAGCCAATTTTTTCTGTTTATAAAAATAAATTAATTTAACAAATATGCAACCAGCCATATAAGCATCATAACCTGCTTCATGTTTCCATTTTTCATTTTTATATCGTTGTCCACCACATTCATCTGAAGCAAAATCAATTTTAGGCTTATAGAATATTTGATTATCATAAAATTTTGATGTTAATAAATCATACAATGATGATAAAGCCGTGTTTGTTGTAAAATTTTCGACGTAATTACTCAAATTTTCTTGCACTTGCTGTTGTTGTTGTAATGGATCATCGTAATTTTCTTCAGAAGATGCATTTATACGAAATGGCAGAGAACATGTTGATGAAGTGGTGGTTCGGTGGTTACGACGATTAAATAAATAATCTTTCATTTCGTATGCAATATACTTTGTATCAAATAGAAATGGAAAACAGTTTGTGACGTCATTTTGAAATTGTTCAAGTTTAGACGGAAGATGATCAATAAATTTATCACATATAATTAACATATCGTACATTATATTATCTAAACACATAAAAGTTGCTCGTCCATTTGACGTGATTGTAAAGCATAACGAAATGATAAAAGAATGATCAAATGGCTAGCTGATCCATGACTCTGTAGACAACCGACAATTGAATATCTGGTTTTCTCTACATGAAGCTTCTACTTGTCACAAGTATTGTACGTCTCTAGCCAGTAACCGGTAAACAGCCTGTCCATAAATTATAAAGTACCATTTCTTTTTTATATTTTTGATACTTACGTCCTACTAATGGTTTTCTATAATTATCTTTCAAATAACGAATTATTTTTGTAAAACCAATTAATGGCTTCATGAACGATTCAAAATTATCTTCGGTATTACTATCACTGTTTATTACTTGATCTTTAATACGCTGATCATATTCTTCTTTTGTAATATGTTCAATAAGAAGTATTTTTTTCTTATTTGAACTATCATCAACATCCACAACAAGTGTTTTAGTCCATATTGTATGAAATACTCGTCTCAATTCATTGTGCAATAAATAATCATCAATGGTCATTGCTGACAGTTCATTTAAATCATAATAAAATATGTCACCGATCCGAGCTTTTATTAACCAATCATTGATTATCGTACATAGTTTGTTAATAAGATGTTTTTCTGTTATACTAAAACGATGGTATTGTTGTTGTTCAGTATCATTCATATTATTTACAAGTTTACTTGTCTAAAACACAATAAAAAAAAGAACGAACGACATTACAAAGATGTAAATACGTGGTACGAGCAAGAATGCTTCTGATAACAACTAAGACTATTCAAAAATAAAATCATTCTAATTTAATTGCGGAAAAACGGTGAAAACACTGTTGATACTTTGTCCCGTTTTACTTTAATGATCAAAACAAATGCTTAGGATAGTTTTCACGCGATGGACGAGTGCAATATATTTGTCAAGTGCTTAACAACAATATCAGTGACGGGCGAGTCCGGGTCATGACTCGGACTCGAGTCGCATCTTTTTAATGACTCTGACTTGACTCTGACTCGAAAATTGGAAGACGCTGACTCGACTGTTTGACTCGAGTCATTCATTCGAAAAAAATTCTATTCACTAACTGCTTTGCATACATTTCCTCTTGTATAAATTTGGGTTATTTCTGAATACTCTTTCTTGTTTTATTTTATTGTTACAACGTCAAAGACGCCTTCGTCAGACAAAAATAGAATAAATATGAAGAACATACAATTAATTAGAGTATACATGTGTAATAGTGCTGACGAAGAACAAGACGGAGACAAAGTGCTAAAGAGACAACGACTGATTATTGCTGTCTTGTTCTTCGTGGCTGTAAACAGTTTCAAGTCAAGATATTTATATATAAAACAGAATGTGTTTTTTACTTCGATGTGGAGCTGTATAAAAGGGAAAAGTTTTGTTTTACTGTTCTCATTTTTTGAAAAATTAAGAAGTAGATAACGAATATCGAAAAATTGTAGCTAACGTTCTCTATAAAAATAAATAGTACTCGGAAAAACCAGAAAAATAATATTGACTCGACTCGACGCGACAACACTGGTGACTCGACTTGACTTGACTCGAAATCGCTATGAAATGACTCAGACTCGACTCGACTCAAAAAATAGCTTGACTCGCCCAGCTCTGAACAATATGGATTAGTGGTTATGTTGTTCGTCACGTACTTTGTTCGAACCTCCGTTTAGTCATATAATAACTTTGAACAAGTTATTTATGTCTTAGTGTCTCGGATCACCCGTCCAACAGCATACTAATTATGTTATGACGTACAAAACAGCTCCTGTCTAGTTCGCGTGGCTCTTCGGAAAGCTAGTACGTGTTTTGTAAGCGTGCATGGAGAGTTCAATTAATTGGATGAAAGAAGTCTGCGTCAGACTAGCCTTCTATTCAGAACTGTAGTTGATGACTAGTAACGAGATGAGTGACCATGTCAAAAGCTGATCAACTTGCAAGGAAGATATCCGACTATTGAAACTACCATTCAGCAGTACCCTATACTGGAAACGGTAGCTGCAAGATGGGGTATTCTTCCAAGCGCTTAAGATGAATCGTTGATAGGAAAATTGTAATACTCTATTTGCTTAAGACCGCTGGCTCATTATTAAACCATTCAGTCTAACCCATAAAGCCGAACTCGGTTTTTCACTAAAGTATTTAGGAGCAACCTTTTGTTGTGGTCTCATACCTGCTCAACTGGTTTAATCGTGGTTTTCATGGGTGATTGATCTTCGGTTAGCTGTTGTTGGTTTTCTTTTTCAGGATTAGATATAGTTTGATCATCATTGTTACGTTTAACACCGAACTTTTTATATAATAAATTCTCTTGTGTCTGATTTAAAAATGATATACCAGTATAAAAACATTTGTTAAAATCAAATTTATTCTGTGTTAAAAATTTTGTCGACGATGCTTGCATCATATATGTGACATCAATTGGTTCTATCGATGCTGGATTCAAATAAAAATTATAAATATGAACTTGATAATTTTGATCTGATGATGAAATGGATTTTGAAAATATGGCTAAACCAAACTGGAATATACTAATATTGGTAACAAGTTTTCTCCGCTTTTCATACAGTTTTTTAGTTGTTTGTGTTGACGATGTGTAATCATTTGTATTTAATGCACTGAATTCTGTATCAAATGCTAAAAAGCATGATGCTTCAATTTGTTCAATTATAATCGGGTACAGTTTTTCAAAATTCTCTAATGTCACATCACACATGTTGAACAAGGAAACAAATCTACAACAAACACAGAGAAAAAAGTCTGGTGTCGAAGAAGAATTTTCAGTCCTCTGTCGATCTTATCATTGTGTATTATTTATAAAAAGAAAGGGAAATATTCTGCACATTTTACTATACAAACTTAGTGCGTGCGTACTAATAGTGGTTTTCAACATGTCAGAGCGATAAATAATGTCTAAATAAGTTGCATGGTGATCAAAAGAAACCAAAAACAAACGTGCTCTCAAATATTCAAGTCAAGTTCACATTGCATCTCAATTTACTATTGATTCATCTTCGGTTGACATATGAAGTCATTTAAAGTTATAAATCAATTAAAGCTTACTCAATTTGATACAGTGCTAATTTGATTCTCACAAGAATCACAAACTTCAGCTCGTATCGTTTTTTATGATCTGTTAGTTTATTGCAGGATTATATCTGATACGATTCTATTGTTATAATGCATCGATATTATACCGTTGCTCTCTCAATTTTTGGCGCAAACTAGTTCCGCTTAGTATCATAGAATATATAGATGGTTTTTTCTTTGTTTTCGATTTCAAAAAGTGTAGATGTTTATTTATATTCTATTAATAGCAGTGGTGAGAAGATCATCGCAACAGATCATTTTTGTGCACTTAGTCCAATCTCTGTTTTGAAATTCTATCAGATTAATAAACCCAGTATCTAAATAAACTCGTTTCAGGCAAATGTAACTCGATAGGGGCTATAAATAAATTGAGCTCCGATTATGTATGTGAATGTGGCTTAAGGCAGCATAATATTATAGCTAATCATCTACCCGATCTATAGTTTTAAACGTTCTTTGATGGAACAACTGCTACAAAAATAAGAGATTCTGGCATGCAGAAGGAACTTTTAAAATGTTTTTAGTTTCCTCGTTTCTCAAATCGCAGCCAAACTTTACCTGATATTCTATCAATTTTCTCATTGGTTGAAAAAGAGTTAGTGCATTACTAACTTACGCATTTGTGAATACTTTGCTACCATATTGTTTGTCCAAAACAACCCGGAAAGTTAGGAAGTGTGATTCAGTACAAGAGACTAAGTAAAAGGAAGATAAATAATCACTTTTATCACTTAGAAGGTCTATGTCTAGTAAGTAAAAATGTCCATGGACTCGTCTAGGTGTAGGTGAAAAAAAGAAGTTATCATTTTATCTCATTGCGTCAAGCGTATGTACCATCTCAGAGTTCGAATACACTGCACTGCATACTAATTCCAAGAAATCTTTCACAGCGGAATTTGTATCGTCGTCTTTTTCTTGAGACATCATAGCTTATTTTATTCCATACTTTGAATGTCCCTGTAGTTATTAGCTCTATCAAACCTTAAACGGATACATAATGATGTGATATTAAATTTCAATGAGATAATAATAAAAGAAAATCAATTTAAGAAACAATATTTGTAATCTATCTCACCAAAGATAGAATACAAATGTCAAAAATCAATAAAATTGACATTAATTAAGGTGATCATATAATCTTCAACCAATCAAAGATTCTGCTAAAATGTTTTCACGTTCATGGCCCTTCAAGTGCAAAGATTGTAACTGGAATCTTCACAAGTGATCTTCATGATGGTGAAAAGTACCAAAACAGAGAAAAAGAAAGTATATTTTAATCTTTACGTCTGAATATGTATTTGAAATTGTCATTTGTCGTTATCTGTTTGACAGTGCAATACAACAATCTGCTTCTTTAAGCCAGATAACTTTCGCATGGTTTTCTTATACTATATTAAATACATTTTAATGTTTCGTATAAGTATGATTAACGTAAAAAGTAGATCATCATGCCTAGCCATTGTGGAGATAATCGTACATTTTTTTTCTAATTTATTGCAATTGAACAGGAAATAATTTCTTTTTCAAACTTTATTTTATATCGTTAGAAAGAATTCCAACGTTTTTTTGTACAATATAGTCATGAATAATACATAATAATAATAGTTATTACGTCATCCGTCAAATGACGTAAAGTTTCGAAAAATTCATAGTTTATCTTCCAGATATTGTAATTTAAATGAAAGACCCAAAGTATGATTTGAAAATATTTCTAGCGTTCAAAAAACTGCTCGGGTTTTGTTATAGTGGAAGAAAAGCAGTTGTATAATGAAAATTTTTTAAATTGTTACATTGATGAAAGTGCTATTGCACTCTCAAATTTGTTAATAAACAATATATGAAAACCCTATTTTGAATTCAAAATATCAAGATCATTTGGTAAACATGCATATGTATTTTGTCATATTTTCTCTATAGACTTGGTGATAACCTCCTCTCGCAGTTTGTCATCCGATCTGATCATTGTCTTTCGAACATAAATGTGAACCTATTGTTTTGCTTGATTGTTCATTTTTTTTTTCTGAATTCTTATTGTTTGATGACATGCAGAAATAATATATGCAAATACTTAGCAACGTTTGTACTATATCTAGTCATCAACACATTCATTATATTTGTACAAGTGTAAAGAAAAAGAAACAACGGATTGATGTGCGTCGTAGTCTTTTTGGAAAAAAATGGTCGATCTATAACTCACAATCGTTGTTACAACGGAGACTATTTGCATTATGTATAGTTATCTTTCGCTCATTTGCTAGAAGCTTCGGGTTCGATTATTTTCTCTTTTCTTTTTTTTCCTTCATGTTCACCTAAAACTATCACCACCACTATCAACGAAATACATTCCTTTTTCGAATTTATACATTTAAAATAAATAGAGTGAATGTTAGAGAGAATGCGTATCTATAGGCGTTCTTTTCTTTTATTCTGCTCTTTCTTTTTTTTTTCATTTCTTCATACAACATACATACATCTCTTTTGAAAAACGAAAGTCGAGTAACAACATATAAACCCGGGAACACATAAAATTCAATCCCATTTTCTATTATATATATATATATATATACATATTGTAGTCGAAATTAGATTCTATTATCAAAAGAAATTTCAGCAAAAAAACACGAACGCCTAAGATTATGCTTTTCATTTCGTTTTCTTTCGTTACTAAAATATATATATATATACACTTTCATTTATACACACATACACACACATTTTCTTCTCTGTTTCTAAATAACATCCATCCATTTATACATATATATACATTAGTAACCGAGAGAACATTTACTCAAGTTTAAAAGGTAAGAAAGACTTCAATTAATCAAGACTATACACGAATATCTATGTAAATATACACGAAATACGAGAGGATGTTCCCATTTAATATTTATTTCAAGTCTAAATTAGGAAAGAATATACAATGATCAATCAGTATATATATTGTCCCGTTGCAAAATAGACAAATAGTTATCTACTCTCAAAACATATTTGTTCAAAAAGAAATGAAAATTTTATTAAATTATTCCAGAATGATAGACTATGTGTCCAAATTCAAATAATTATTTTCGAATATATATCGCTATTTTGCAAACATTTCAAATCTTCTATTATATAAGATATTTCAGATGATGAGAGCAGAACAATCAAAATTTCAGAAACTAATCTCTATATGGTGAAAATTTTACAGCTAAAGTAGAGTAAGACGTATATATCTTGATTTCAGATTTTCGTTTTTCAAAATTCGTATCCTAATTTTGATTGTGTAACAACAAATTTTAGCAAATTCCATGGTAAAGAAATGCTGAATAAATGATGTATTTTTGTTTTCACTGACGAATTCACCAATAAATAACAAGAGCAAAGCGTTCTAAACAAGAGGATAAATTTTCACATTCTCTAAAACACGAAAAAAGGTTATTTCGGAGTTTTTTTGTTCTTTTTTTTTTTTTTATGGGACATTTTTTAAATTTATAATAGAAATGAGTAGGAAAAGAAAAATGTTCACAAGAAAAAAGAAAAAAAAGATGCGTGGCTAACATTTGCTCAAACATACAACGTTTAAAGAAACATTGTTGATGATAATGATGATGAATTGACGAAAAAAAAAAAACATGCACATACATGAAACCTGTAACAAAATAAAACAAATATGAAAACACATTGCAAGTATAGAGAGCAAGAAAAAACGAAACACCTCTACTTTCTACCTTTTTCTTCTTCTTTAGTTTACTAAATTAAATAGATGATTTTTCCTTGCAAAAACATTATATTTTATTTTCATTTTATAGCTTCTGGATGTATTGTGAGAGCGTAATTTTTATTTCGTTTCGTTATGTATGTAGTAGTATCTTGTATGAGAATGTAATAATAGAAACTTATTTTACTGAATTTTTGATGATGATGTTCTCTTTTTTGCGTTTTCGTTTTTCTAAAGTTTTCACCGTAGCATTTCTTCGTCTTTTTTTTTTTTCTTCTTACGTTGTTTTGTCCTTCCCTATACTCGAGAAACATGCACGTATATTTATTTTTGTGTCGGCTATATATATATATATATATGTAAGTTCATGTGTCTTTTTCCATATATACTCTTATTAAGATTAATATTTAAATTAAAGTATAGGAAAAGGCCATCGTAGGATTAGTACGCCTAGAAGAAACATCCCTCTTTTTTCCCAATTAATATAAAATCTCATCATATCTCTTTTGAATAGATGAACAAATAAATAAATGTTTTTGGAAAACGATATCTATACACAAATAATGTGAATGATTATAAAAAAGCACTTGGTCATGAGAATTATCACAATGTGAAGAGAAAAACATGAAAATAAATTATATTCTCCCATTCAAACTTAACTTGGCCTTCATTTTTCTTTCTCTTTAGGCGAAATATTTCTTTTCAGAATTTTAGAAATTATTTTTTGAAAAATGAACGCTAATACTTATGGAAACAAGTGGATTTTGAACTAGCTAATTAGAATGTAAATAGTCCAATTTTAAATTGTTGTGTGCTATTCTCATTTTCGGTTGTAGTATGACCATATGCTTAACTTAATTGCATATTTTCTACATAATTGTCCAGAAAAGGTAAATATGGTTCAAAACGGTAAACTCTTAAAAGTAAGG